AATAAAAAGGGAAAATTGTCTATGGCCATCCCTCTATATATATATAAATATAGAATGCTCCAATCTTACGCGTCGGTCATGTAGATATGTAGTCTTTACACACCTATATGGATTTTTAAATTTAAATATATTTGAGTAACTTAAATTGAAAATAACATAAAATAAAAGTTTGTAACTTTTTTAATTGTTATCAATTTTTCACATATAATATAATATTATTATTATTTTTGACGAGATTTGATTTGATATTCATATTAGTTATATAAAATAAATAATACCATTTTTATTTTAAAATTAAATCATTTATTAATATTAATTGAATATTAATAAAATTACATATCAATTAGAAAAGTTATCTATAAATTCATATATGAATTAGAACAAATATTATAATATGTGAAGATCAAATCGTATAAGTGAAAAAGTCTCATTTAGTATATTTTTTTACCAAAATACTTAACTCTATAAGAAAAAACTTATCTCTTTCATTAAAAAAAATAAAATCAATATAAATTTTGTAACTAGCACTCGTGAAACCATGGATGTTGTACTAGCCATTATTGTAACTAAAGGATCAAAATCAAAGTCGGTTTTAGCAGTGATATAATCTTACTCATTTCATAGGTTATGTTTCGAGTAGCCTTCTAGATACTTTTCTGATTAAAAAATATTTTCATTTTCATCACAATTTTTGTATTTTTCTTTTTATTTAGTTATGTTTCAAAATCGATACATTAGATTTAAAAATCGGCCAACCGATGCTTATGTGTTCGACAATATTGTGTTAAATATAGTTTACACACTTGTCTTCTGCAGAATGACAATAAACGGCCCGATCAAACAACGAATATGAACCTCAAACATACACTTAATAATTATTAAAATAAATTAACTAAGTTAAGACACGTGAAACATACTCTTTGTAACACAAAATTACAATCAATTAATGTCCAATGTTTTTGACAAGAGTCTCCAAAATACAATTTTATTGTGTGTATATACTGGTACGTCACATACATAAGATTTCGACCAATTTGTTCTTATATAGAACTCTCAAGAGATGAAGAAAAAATAATGAACACAAAATGAATATGATCAACTATCTTATGTTCTATCTCAAGTTCTTATATTTAATTAAATATTTTTGAATGATTCATTCAAATGGGTATCTATAGTTATTGAGAAATGCCAACAGAATTTTGGAGTCTAAAGAGAGAGACACCATTTTGGACAAATCCGAAAGCTATAAGACGGAGCCAACAACGCGTCCCTACGTGCGAGCCTAAGCCCCAACAAGTGCTCAACTAAGTTCTATCCGTTCCCAATGAGACTTATTTGACTTCTAAAATGCCTAGTTCACGGCTAGCTCGCGTTTGACTTGCCTGTGTATTGATTTGACCCAGTGTTTTTCAACGATTTTTAAGCTACTAAAACCTCAATTTGTTTTTTTTTTTTTTTTCAATATAATTAAATAATATCAATCAATCATTCATACACACCATATCAAC